GTCCCATGTGCATATGAAACGCCACTCTGACTTCAGATTGAAGTCGAATGCTTGGCGCACCCTATAAAGGGATCGATCAGCGCTGAAACTTATCATTCGTTTGAGGCTTTATGTGAAACTGAACAGGAATCAGTGATTATTCAGTTAGTAAATTGGTACCGTCTTATCTTCAGAAACAGCTTGAATGCTTTCAGAGTAGGGGAAAACTTTAGAGCAAATGGACAGACTATCCTGATGTATGGCGTCGCATTTCAAAGGGAAGTGATGCTAATTACCTTAACATTTCTGTATGTAATCTCTTCTATGATCTAATGTGATCATAGTATGCTTTCGGGCAGAACTTCTTTCGTGATCGGATATACCCAGAGTCTGGTATTGGTGCTGTGGATCTTCTTCAACTAAGCAAATTGACCGAGCTCCCCCTCCGCTAATTCGCATCCATATGTGAATATGGTACTGAACGAAAGATAACCGAAGCAAGGATTAATCATGGTCACTCGGTAGGTACTTTTTAAGTACCGACGATTCCAAGCAGATCAGGAAAAAAGCACTCCTAAAACCAGATTACACCCTGTTTCCGCGAAACTTTCGAACCACGTTGCGTCTGCTGAGCCGCGTGACTGGAACCGAATCTGCCCGGCTGACTGAACACCTTGGATTGAACATCTTTTTTCCCCATTTCATTGCTTCACACTGACAGATTGAAAGTAAAAACGCTCAATGATCACTGAGTAATCAGACCTAGTGGAAGTGAAGACCAAGAAGATCTGATAAAATCCGATTGGGGACTGAACATGGATTAGCAGCCCCAGGGATCTGACATTCTCTCGTATGTTCAGTTTTTAGATTATACTCGATAGTTCCTTGTGTCCAGGTGAAGTTGGGGTGATGATAATCTGGGTTATCCCTTTTATATTAATTTATACAGCACAACGAAACCTTTAGGTATCAAACAGTAGCTGCACGTGTAGAAAGCGAAGGTTTTGTTTGGCTGGAAATAGGATATGTAAGTCATCCATGATGGCTCGACTTACTTATTTCACATCCAATTTTCGGTTTTACTGTATTTCAGTTTCAACCGATTTAAGTGCATCAGCTTTTCTTACCTTGTGGGTTGTAGTTTAGTATATTCGAAAAGCCCGTAGTATTCCATATTTCTCGAGTTTGCCGGAAGCTGCCATGGGGTCTTGACGTACAGCTTCCATGGGGTCTTGATGCACTACCCACGCTTGTACGTATCATATATCCGACTACCTCTTTTCTTCTTGTTTAACCATAAAATGACCGAACTGTTCATACTACATACTCAGCCCCTACATTCTTACTAGTTCCGAACAGGCCACTCCGCTATTCAAATCCATTAAGACTTGTGCCAAAAATTTGGCCTCGAAGCCTCCTCTAAACGGCCCTGTGCAGCTGTGTTACATGGTTGCATCGTTAAGACATGACAATCTTCCAGCACTGGTATCTACTATGTTTCATGAGAGTAGTTGAGTGGAAGGGGAAGGAGTGCATGAAGAATTGATTCTTGTCGTTTTCGGTCACTCATTGGGGAAAGATCGTGAAAGACAGTCTTTCGAGGTTTATTTTGGATTCAAGCTATTGTATCCTCCATTATCTCCTCCTTTACTACCAACAGTGCTCAACGAAATGTGTATAAAGCCGGAGCGACAACGATCTTGCCGCAATCCCATCCGGTATTGTACAGTCAGTTGACTTAGCATCGCTTCTATCTGCATCGATGATCGTGCGAAGCTGGATTTGAAGGCGGATTTACGCATTCAGACTGATTCCTTACTGGATTTGTTTTCTATGCCGTCTCAAAGTTTTTGCTTGTTATTCTTTCAGAACGCATTATCAAATTGATCTTGTGGGATTCAACGGAAGGTTCTTACCTTCAATGAAGCTCAGCCATAAGTTCGCTTTATTTCTTTCCTTTATTCCTTTCCCGTAACTGTTAAACTCTCCTTCTTTCCACTGACTTTTTTGTCATGTTTTATAGTTCTGTGCTTTAGAGCAGTACAGGAGGTTAAGGAGGCCGAACGACGAGGGAGAGGTTTCCTTCTCAAATGGCTCTTTCCTTATTCAGTCAATATCCTTTAATTGAAAATACTTCATGTGGAATCAACAGACATTTCTGGCCACGAATTATGTCATCTGAGTGATAGAAGATGGAATGAACAATGACGTTCTTGTCTAAGTCCCGATATTTAGCCGGCTGCACGGCCTATCTTGAGAACCTAGGTACTATTGAGTGTTGCGTACGGGAATCCGATAAGATAGTACCGGTGCTCTTTTTTTGACTCAATCCTGCTCGATAATCAGTAATTCCACAATTCCAGGTGCTACCATGCGACGATTGCTGCTCCTCGCTACAGTCGTGGTCTTGATAAATGCTCTAAGACAACATCCTCGACACATTACTGAAACGCAGGTTCCCTTCCCAGGTAGAGTGCAGGTTTCCGTTCTATTCTGTTCAAGTTTTCAAGGTACACAAGTTCTCCATATCATGTGGGTGATTGAATGCGGCCCTCATAGACAGTCCATCCAGGGCTTGTGGTCGATGCTGAGTTGGGCGCTGATATTGAATAACTAATCACTTTCTGAAATTATCCTTCCTTTTGGAATATTGTTAGTTAGAGTAGTATAACAAGTTGCTGAACCGCCCACCGCTATGGCGAGATTCCTTAAGTCGATTAAAGCGCTCAAATATGTCATATCTACCCCTCACTAGTGATGGTCAAAATTTAGCTCCTCCGGATGAACAAAAGAATCAGGTGTAAATATTATTTGGTTTTCGTGTGTTGTTTACACAGATCCAACACTTGTAAGCGAGCTTCCGTGACTTTGGGTTGAAGTTGGATGTATGAACTCCAAGCTATGCAGAACTATTTGAAATTAATTTCAGATGGAATCGATCCAGCACCTGACAAAATCTCAGGTGAAGCGAACAGACTGAAAGCTCAGGAGCCGCTTGAAGGTACAGCTCATTTCCTGCATATGTTAGTTAATATAATGATTTAATTGTCTGGTGAATGCCAGTATTATTGTAATCATGAAAAGAATAGTAGTAATTACAATGGTAATAAAGGATGGATTTGAATTCCAATGAACCGTAGTGGATTATACTTCACCTGTAGGGCATATCCCGCTCGTTCCCTCGTCATTCATTCTAGAATACAAGCTCGAATGTGAAATAAAAATGAGCCTACATGCTCAATGACATTAACTGCATAAGCTTTTGTCACTGCTTTATTTTCATGGAGTCCAAGATCACTTCTCTGAAAATGGCTGGAATAGTGAGTACCAGATAAAAGCTCATGACATAGTAAAAAAGTGCCAAACTTTGTTGTCATACAATTTTGATTGTTATTTGTTTAAGAACTGCAGTTGATTTTGATCTGAATAGATCAAGTAATCAGTTTCTATCGACCTGATCCACCCACTGGCAGGTGTCAGTTCAGTGGCCAGTCTAGTCAACCTCTCTCTTTATCTAGAGTCGTGGTGCTCATCAGAGTGCTTTCTTTTTTGAAACTGTTTTCTTTTACTCGTTTGGTTCAGTAATGCGGTCATATTTCTTGAAAACAACTTCAATTTTTTTAAACGAGATGTAATTAGAGTTTCAATTTGCATCGATGCAGATTCGTCCGAAAAGGAAAAGTCAAGCGCCGCAGCCAACCGTCGCACACAGAATGTACCCAACAATCGGGGTAAGTTTTTACGAGAATTCATAAATTGGCGGATCGTGTAAACAAGAATAAACTATGAACATGGCGCAGAGAGATATCGCACCGTAAAAATTGTTGAGCGGTTGTAAGGGTTCTATTCTAGTCTCTAGTATAGGCTGAATGAGGTGTTTAGTGATGGCAGGAAAAACTTAAATTTGTCGGAAGACGCGGTTCTATCTAAGACAGTCTCTGAAAGGTATGTAGATCTCTCTAGATCCTCGAAGCTATTTTTGCTGGATCAGAGAAATATTGCTCCATGTTCATTTGGTTATAAAAGCGCCCTTGAAGAACGAATATCAAGCCATCGAAAAATGAAGAGTTAAGGGGAAGGGTTCTATATAGAAAGATATCAGGTAAGGTTTTTCTTCTAATAATCGGTGTTTAAAGCTGTACCATCATGGAATACGTCATGTCGGTAAGTCGGTGCTAGCAATTCCAGTAAACTGATAGGAAATATGTGAATGTTCGAACTGTAGTAAGAGGTTTGCTAGAATTCTCGTTTTACGATAAGGTGTCAGGGCTGGCAAGCGATATGGGAAGAGTCGTATATGAAAACATCCATCAGTGAGGTTGTATTCAGTCCTCCTGCTCCCATCGTGCTGGACAACTTTTACAGTTTACTCGTTTACTAGTTTATCAGACTCTATGGATTCTCTATCTCTGTGGATTTTCCCACTTCACCGGCTGGGCAGAGGAACTCTATTCAAAGGGCGAAAGAGATTGTATCATAGAGGAAACTTCTTGATTTACTTTTCAGGAAATCCGGTGAAGAACTTCGGACGAGATGTGGTATCGTCAACACAAAGATCAATCAGCTATACGGCAAAAGAGACTTCCACGAAGGGCTCAGTGGTGGTTTCTCCTGTAACGCATGTTGTATTCGTGAAGAATCCACCGTTGAATCCTCCAAGAGGGCAGGTAAAGACGTCCATCTGATTGTGGCCTTCCTAAGCAGATAAATAAGTACAGCTTCGGATACGTTGTATTTGAGGTGATCAAGAAAATGCTGACTGTGAGATCAATGCCAACCCCGCCACCCACGACAACGACGACGACAACAATACAGGTGCGACTTTTACAATGTATTTAGTGATAGCAAATTTCAAAAGCTACTCGGCAAATTCCCTAAAAAATGATAACCGAAGCAGTCAATGTTCAGCGTATGTATGATGCTTCAAATTTGACCTGCTCTTAGGCACTCCAGCAACAAAACTGTTAAAAATCTGTGGCAACCGATCATACGTTGTTCTCGCTCTAACTTCTGCTTTCGAAATTGTACGAGAAGGAAGTCGGAAAGATCGACAGGAAGACGTACGACCTAATACTAGAACCCTAATCTATTTCTTAATCAAATGAAATTCACTGCCCACCTTGTTAGAGTCGATTATAAGCTTTCGTAGCAATAGTTTCTGCAGGATCACTTATGATGTACCCTTCTGCCATAACTTTGATAGCTTATAACATCAGTGAGAAAGCTCAGACTGTCCACCGATGAGAAAAAGAGAGCGAGGAACTTTCTCTGATTGTTTATGGCGAGCAGGCGCAAAAAACAAATTGGAAATGGTTTTGGCTAGCATCAGAAATCTGATTCACTGGACCCGTCCGTCTCTCCCAACTCTCNTCTGCAGGATCACTTATGATGTACCCTTCTGCCATAACTTTGATAGCTTATAACATCAGTGAGAAAGCTCAGACTGTCCACCGATGAGGAAAAAAGAGCGAGGAACTTTCTCTGATTGATTATGGCGAGCAGGCGCAAAAAACAAATTGGAAAAGGTTTTGGCTAGCATCAGAAATCTGATTCACTGGACCCGTCCGTCTCTCCCAACTCTCCCACTGACAGAACTTTTTTGTAAAGAGAGTACGATACGTTCTCGATCGCAATGCCTTCTAGGTAACATTGATATCTGAGTATGTATTATTTTAAGAATAATTTCAGACTACAACTGTAGCGCAAACCACGACTTCTCTTCCTGAATCGTCTGTGCAGGGAAGTGATAATTCTGCAGAAAATTCTGATCCAGGATCTGATGAGGTTAGCTTGGTGAAAATTCACGAGCGTTCGCGATTTCACTAGAAGTATAGGCTCATTTTGCTGACGATACCGATGCTGAGGCTTCGGAGGAAGGCATTGAGGAGGAAAACACAAACAATGAAGAAGAGAGCCATACAAAAGAAGGTAGGTAGTTATTTTAAATACATAATTACTAAGGGGAGGATGTTTGTTTTGCTTGGTTACTGTGATCCAATATAAAATGGAACCTGTATCCTGTTTATTTGCCACGATCTTAGCATTTTTTTCGTGGGAGGCCAGAGGCTGTGAGGCCATTTTCGTCGCTTTTTTAGACGAGTGAGTGAATACTGCTCTATCAGTCACAAAACTACCACAAAAAAAGTTATTCCTTAAAAGACTGTAAGTATTGAGATATATCAAAAATTGCTATTTTTAGGTGAGCCTTCTAGAACGCTTGAACAAGGCAGGCCTCCATCTTATCCCATTTCGAAGGAACAAATTCATTCACCATCCGCATCAAGAGCTGATCAAGTAAGTGCCCTTTTTGATGGTGAAGATGCTTTTACCTTTCTCATCGATCACAAGATTCGATTATAATCATGCTGGTAAATAAAATCTCTATGAAGCCTTCGCCTTCAGCTCCCACAAACCACTACGACAGCAGTACCACGGGAAGTTTATCATTTTCCTCGAGGTAAACTATTTGTTGATTTCAACTTCTAATTTGAATCGGTTTCGATGCGACTCCTGTGCTAACCCACATTCCTTTTGGACGGCCTTATGATTAGCTCGAGCTCATCATCGCCTCATTACAGTATGTAGTTTCCTCTGAGTCTATCTGTTGAACATAGCGCCCATTAATCGAGCCTAAAATGTTCTCGTTGTTCATGATTAATATAGTATCAATACCTGTGAAGTCATCAACTTACCAGCAATCTCCCTCAAAAAGCTAAACGTTGTAGTTACTGTATCTGCTAATTCTGTAGTCGTGTTCGATGAAAGACTTCATATCGTTTTGGTGCTCGACATTTTTCCTATTCAGCCCTCGTTCATATGAACCTTAGACGCCAGCAGATTTCTATAACAGCGAGTCTTTTTCAGGCCAGACACGTGCAACAGCCACTCCTCATGTGGTTTCACCAACCTCTCCGTTACCTCCTGTCAGTAAATCCGCAGCTATCTTAACTGACCCTCCGGTCAAACCATCTCAAGAGCTTAAGCCTGAACCCGAGAAAGGCGCTGCCAGAAAGACTTCTGTGGAACACGCCAATGCACAGCAGGGAAAAGATGGTGCGTCATGGGAGAGAGTGGAACAACGACAAGAAAATAGAGGCAACAAAGAAGTGCAGTCGGGAAGCGCATCAGAAGACAAAATCGGTGATGAGAAAGGATCAGACGCAGCTCACGAGCCGTCCGTAGAAGTGCAAAGCAACTATGAAGGTTTCGAGAATCAAGAGGAACAGAAAAGTGATCAAAACAGTGAGAACTCCATTGCCACCGTATCAAAGACGAAAATCGAGGCGACTGAAGAGCAGCGAGATGAGGAGAACAATAAAAATGAGAATAACCCTGAAGAAACTGCTTCGATATCTGAATCTAAGAAGGTTGCCGTCAAGAAAAAGCAGGTTGAGCACAATATGAAACAAGAAGAGGCCGATAAGACAGTTGCTGAGAGTGAAGAAGGTGCTATTAATGATGCCAGTACCGAAAGTTATGATGAGGAAGGAGAGGGCGAAGATTACGAGCCAGATGAAAGCGGGCAGTCATCAGAGAGAACCGATCCTCTCTCGAATAAAAATATTACTGAAGAAGAACTCGAGGAGCCTATGGATGTGGCTGAACTCGCTGAATTGGGCAACTCCACTTCAGCGGAACAGGAGGCCGAGGGGGATTATGAGCCCAAGGGCAGCGGAATCGCTCTGAAGGAGACAAACTCAGTCAATCATACCAAAAAGAATGAGGATAAAGAGAAGAACCCTTCAGCCGGAGCTGAGCGGAAGGATGAGAAACACATCTGGAAGGAGACGGTCTTGAGTTCAAAAGAGAAAAAAGCTAATCATGCTGCTCCGCTGTCTTCTATTCGGGGGAACACTGGGGAATGGCACAAGAAAATGATCAGAACGGCCGAGGGCCCCAAGCCTACTGCTACCGAGAGAATCACTGACAAGAACAAGGAACACGGTGCTGCTGGGAATGACCACAAGAAGTCAGCGATCAGTGCTGAAGAGGATGAAACTTCCGGATCTGAAGAACAAGCTTTTGAAAGCGCAGAGGACACACGAACTGGGCCTCATGGTGCTGATGACGCAGATGGGAAGCCTGTGGAAAACGCCGCTGAAGCTGGCCATGGATCATCTGATAGAGGTAGGCCCTTATTAGTTATATGAACATGTTTATGTTTTGCAATCGCTGCTTCAAAATTAGGTAAACAATGAATGCTACCCTGTAGCCATTTGAATGTTACATGTCTGAGGCTCAAATTTACAGCACTTGATCCTTCCGGTAGCAAACACTTGAGCTCAAAATTAGTAAACGTGAGTAGCGACTTTTGCGCTGAGGTTGCCTGGCTCAACTGGATTTTGGCAGTCGGAAGTCACTGTCGAATCCTTTCTACTTCATCTCATGATCGTGAATTTGGCGAAATTGAAATGAGATGACACTTATGGTTTTTTACAGAAGAAGTAAGAGTTAAATTGCGTACTATGACCGATTTTTCATGTAAGACACAGGAAAAAACGGCCATAGCAGTGAAGTTGATTCTTAGTTCTTTTGTAAAGAAAAAAACTCGGCTCAGGATAGAAAAGGTTCTTGAAAAGAAGCGTCGCCCAAAGGGTTCATAGAATGTAATGGTCCGATTCGGAATTCGATAGCCAAACTACATATGCTTGCAGGGCTACTTGCTCTCGCTAACTCCCATTCGAAGTGATCAATCAGAATGTACAAACAAAAGGCTACTGATGTTTGTGGTGATTTCAGTATTGGTCGTTAAGATCGTTTTGTTTCAGAAAATCGAATCGAGAAAATGAACGATCATGATGTCCCCGTTGTGGAGGTAACTTTGCTTTTTTGTAGATGTTTTGAAGTTCTCTAGACTCTCATGTAAGCGATTTCGCATAGGTCTACTGTCCGATGTTTAGACCCTTTCGATCACACCTTATTGTTAGCACAAAAAATACCTTGGATTCCCTTTGAGGACTACTTTTTGGCTATCTAGTGATTGCTAGATCTTATATTACTAGGACAGATTTAAAAAATTGCTATCGAGTAGGATGGTTTTTAAGGTCGACAGCAGGACCAAAGGTCGCGACATTGTCATCGCATACAACCCTACTTATCGTAAAGGATCAGGGGTTGTCAGAGCAGGTACGAGTTTTTTGGGTCTTTCGACCAGCAGTGAACTGTAGGCTAATTTACAAAGTGAACTCATATCTAGTGGCCCCTAAAGGCACAGTTCACGATAATTTTGAGTACCCTTTTGAGGTAGAAAGGTTGAAGTTTTGATGTAGAAGAGTACATCAGTGGCGAAGAAGGCGAGAGAATTCGCCTCCTTCAAGTCTTTTTAGGTTGCACGAGATTTCCGTGACGTGAATGTCCTGTGAGGGAGGGCTGAAATTGTCCGAAACCGCCTTTCACTGTCACTGGGTTATGAGAAGTTGTTCGAACTTCCTACATGGGAGTCTCCTGAGATAGTGCAGCTTCTGCAGGAGTATTGAAACTTATCCACGATGGGTGTGGCATTCACACGACACAATCTGTGGCCCCTTTTTGTGCCCTATCCATGACGTTTTTCGACTTTATAACG